CACTTAATATATAAATGACCTACTGGTAGTCTCGAAAGCCTACTTATAAGCTAAACTCAATTAATCTAAGCGGACTAAGGTGGATACAGTTATTATGCGAGCTACAGACAGTTTCAAAGACTTATTCACTACGAATACAAGTAATGTTGCCGACTGTAATGGCAAACACAAGTCATCATTAGATAATGTGTCGTGAAGGCCTGACTTGTCTCGAAAGCCGGTTTGTGCTGTGACCCAGTGGAAATGAGGCGGTTTGGCATAGCGGTAACATGTGGAAAAGAAACGCTGTACCATTCGAGTTCGATTTTTGTTAGAGGTGCTAGTAAGACCCTGGCGAGGTCCAAACTGCAGACCAGCCTGGATGAGAAGATCTTGGAAGCACGCCTATATGAAACTAAATGAAAACGTAAGACTTACTCATATCGTTGCGGGAAAACTCAATTACCAGTCCTTCCTCACCTTAAATGAAATAGGGTAAATACAGTTCTGATATCAGATCTGGTAATTTGGAAAAAACTACTTATGAAACGAAGACTTAATCAAGATTTACTTAGTCTCAAAACCCAACTTAAAACGAGTACAAGCTTAGGGAATGCTTTAGGAATAGATGTCTTACATAACTCTGCTGGATATTTGCATTCATTTCAACAAATCCAGTTAAACTCAATTCTCTTTCGAAACCCGCGTCACAATCCCAAAATTAAAAATCGAACAACGCCTTAAAAAGTTAAATACATAACTAAAGATACCCGCAAAACGAATACTTAATCATTGTCAAACTTAAATACTATTTCATCCTTCTGCCTTAGCCTTCCTATGTTACTGTGTGCATGTGATAGCATTCATAATTGGTACACATGCGAATCATACGTAGGGGATGAGATTAGCACAAAACGATCTGCAAGGGCAAACGAATCCAGAGAGCAGAACTATCTTTACGCATGGTGAATAGGATGAGTGTCCTACAACTCGGTATTTTGCAGTATGTATAGAATCTATGGATAAGCACGGCACATAGTCATTGCAAATTGCTAATACGATCAGTATTTTAGATAAAAGAAGGGAATTTAAGAAGATGAACCTGGTTATTAGATATACTTAGGGCTAAAGAGCAGGCAAATGAGCCTAGAAAATGGAAACGGTAGATTCAATATGAAGTATTGTTAGAGATGCAGCAATTTATTTGACACAGGATCAATGTACATCCACACCCGTACAAGCGCAAACCATAGTGCGCCTTAGCATCACATATTTGCAAGAGGGAAAGTGATAGGAAACTATTTCTGAAATGAAATACATGTTCAACGACAGCCTCAGCAGTTTCAATAATCCACATTCATGCAAGCAGGTCACAAAAATAAGCCAACTATATCGACGAATATATCAGAAAATAGACAATAAGAGTTTGGTAAGAATTGACTGGTCAGTGTTCTGCGCTCAGTGCTCTTGGGAAGTTCTGTCAAAAATGGATTCTTGCGTTGAAGACGACTGATAAAAGCTCAATACGGATTTGCCGAGGTCGGAGGAAGAAGATATGAGTATTTCAGCTTACCAATGACGGTAAATACACTATTCATTTGTACGAGACGACCTGACTTGATCAGAAGGGTTGAAATGTTGACAATTCTCAGTTCGATCTCAAAATTTCACAAAGGTTTGAGCATAAATTGACTCATTGCAGTTATATGACATGCTTTTTTGCGCCTATAAATCTATGATTCATCATTATTATACACACTCAAATGATATCGACGGGAAGTGGAATCGAAGATCTCTCAAGTAGGTAACACATTAAATTTGATGCTATTCCGAAACTGCGCAATAGATTGATCATGACTAGTAAAACTCAAGAGTGAGTGAGAATAGGAAAGTTGTTTAAGAAGCGAAAATAAGGTAATTACAGACAAGAGTTTGCAAATTCTAGGAGAGCGAGATCAGTATTAGCGCTTGATGATTGGCCGTCTAAACTTAGCAATAAAATAGGCTTGGCCGTGCAGTTTTACTTTGGCTAAATTAACTAGAATTAAGGAATTTGCATTAGCTCATCAAATCTAAGTGAAGGGAAGTGATAAAACAACGAAGTGGATGCAGAATCAATAAGAGGATTTCATCAAAGGAATAGTGCTCGTTTGGTGTTTGCAACCAGAATAGTCTACTAAATCGTTTTTGTAACTAAGCCGAATCAAGTTAAATATATAAAACTTCATGCGGTTATCACGACAGAATTATTTTCGCTATACGAAATTTAGAGAGAATAAGATAAATAAACAAAGTATATACGAAATTTAGTTGGGTTTCAATGCATCTCTTAGGATAACTTAGTTGTGGAGACTACCTTATTTGTTTCGAGGTATTATGTCTTGTGAACTGAGTCGACCTGAATGTCGTATAAGGGCCAAACGGCTGCAGGACAATGGGAATCAGATGTTATCTTGTGGAGAGATCGACCAATGAATCGCTTTATCAAGAAATTTCATACGAAATAAAAAAGTCTCCACAAAAATAATTAGACTGAGATACTGTAAAAAATAATCTTCAAGTAACCTCAATTTCTGCCATGCTTGCCGGTCGGCCGTTCTTTGATAAACACATGTCAGCCAGATAAGAGTCAATCGGTTGAGTGTTCATATGCTGGTTCAGACAGAAGGTGAACCCTGTGGAGAATAGCTGCTCAGATGTCGTTGGAATGCCGACAGAGCGTATGTGGGACAAAGATTCATCGACGATATTGGAGCGTGGAATTCTTGCGCTTCTGGAGATGAGATCAGCAGCAGCAACAGAGTCCAGATCGTTGGGCAAGAGGGGCATTGGAGTGGAAGAGATTAGCGGTCCGTTGATATCCTCAGCCGTCGGGGTGCATTCAATAGAAGCGATTGCCGGTCTGAGGCCGAGTGAGACCAGATGAGCAGTGAGAAGATGTGAAGAAGGGCTGGTTAGCTGTTCAGTAAGTCGACGCCCATGATTAGAGATCAGACAATCATAAGACGAATGCGCATTGAAATCAAATCGCGGAATTGTGCGTTCATTCAAGGCTTGTTCAGGCGCCGTGGGCGGTTGGGGAGCAAGGCTAGAGATCCGTGACCCAGGAAGCGTTTTTACGTCTGAATCGAGACGCAAAGGGCTGTATTCGGCCGATTTTCTGATATGAGATCCAGCCAGTCGAGAGTGACGAGTATGATTTGATTTCGAGCACTGCTTCATCTCTGGCAGCTGGTTACATGTGGCCAAGAGACGCGTAGTCGCTACAAGAGTGCCAGGAGATAGGTCTTTTTCAGGCGCGATGGACAGGTCAGAACTGTTGCAGCTTAGACTCAGCGACCGACGATTAAGAGGCTTGGGCGCCTATAGGCAAGATTGCGTGAAATGATGGATGGAAGTTGTAGAGAAATACCATTCATTTACATAGGCTTAAGGTTAAATGATACTCTGGGCTAGGCCAGAATAGGCCTGTATAAAAAAAGTATTCATTTGAACATAATGTTCAGGCTGAACAGTTTTTTAAAGAGGTACCAGCGGAAGCTGGCAAAGCTCCTACGACAGCATTCCTCAACGTTGAGATTTCCCACTTTCTTAGTTCAAGAAAATATTATTGGTCAAATGTCACGTTAACGCTTGGTCAAGAAGACTGACAGACAGAAAAGAATCGAATATGGGTAGATATGAAAGATAAAGATGCTATGCATTCCAATCATCCATGAATAATACTCTTCCATTTCCAGTATAAGCAGACAAAGATAATTCTTGAATAAAAACTTAGTCGGTTCAGGTTATTAAAGAGGATTTTAAGACTGACAGACGAGTTTTCCCACAATCAGATGAATCTACCTCACGAGGCTAATGAATTTCGCTTAGGCTTGCCCCTCAAGAGGCAACCTTAACCCGACTGGAGTGAACTGAAGTTTCGACCTCGTCTGAACTGGTCTCATCAGC